TTACGGCACACGGTCTGTTTAGATGGAATCGGGAGAGCTATCGTTTGTTTAAATTTCTATCATGAATACAAAGTTTACGGCACACGGTCTGTTTAGATGGAATGGGGAGAGCTATCGTTTGTTTGAATTTCTATCATGAATACAAAGTTTACGGCACACGGTCTGTTTAGATGGAATCGGGAGAGCTATCGTTTGTTTAAATTTCTATCATGAATACAAAGTTTACGGCACACGGTCTGTTTAGATGGAATCGGGAGAGCTACGTTTGTTTGAATTTCTATCATGAATACAAAGTTATTAAGCACACGGTCTGTTTAGATGGAATGAGGAGAGCTATCGTTTGTTTGAATTTCTATCATGAATACAAAGTTTACGGCACACGGTCTGTTTAGATGGAATCGGGAGAGCTATCGTTTGTTTGAATTTCTATCATGAATACAAAGTTTACGGCACATGACTGTTTAGATGGAATGAGGAGAGCCCGTTTGTTTGAATTTCTATCATGAATACAAAGTTTACGGCACACGGTCTGTTTAGATGGAATGGGAGAGCTATCGTTTGTTTGAATTTCTATCATGAATACAAAGTTTATGCACACGGTCTGTTTAGATGGAATGAGGAGAGCTATCGTTTGTTTGAATTTCTATCATGAATACAAAGTTTACGGCACACGGTCTGTTTAGATGGAATGGGGAGAGCTATCGTTTGTTTTAATTTCTATCATGAATACAAAGTTTACGGCACACGGTCTGTTTAGATGGAATCGAGAGCTATCGCTTGTTTAAATTTCTATCATGAATACATAGTTTACGGCGCAAGGTCTGTTTAGATGGAATCGGGAGAGCTATCGTTTGTTTAAATTTCTATCATGAAAAAATTTAAGGCACAAGGTCTGTTTAGATGGAAAGGGAAGAGCTATCGTTTGTTTAAATTTCTATCATGAATACAAAGTTTACGGCACACGGTCTGTTTAGATGGAATGGGAGAGCTATCGTTTGTTTGAATTTCTATCATGAATACAAAGTTTACGGCACACAGTCTGTTTAGATGGAATGGGAGAGCTATCGCTTGTTTAAATTTCTATCATGAATACAAAGTTTACGGCACACGGTCTGTTTAGATGGAATGGGGAGAGCTATCGTTTGTTTGAATTTCTATCATGAATACAAAGTTTACGGCACACGGTCTGTTTAGATGGAATGAGGAGAGCTATCGTTTGTTTGAATTTCTATCGAATACAAAGTTTACGGCACACGGTCTGTTTAGATGGAATGTGGAGAGTTATCTTTTGTTTAAATTTCTTTCATGAATACAAAGTTTACGGCGCACGGTCTGTTTAGATGGAATGGGGAGAGCTATCGTTTGTTTAAATTTCTATCATGAATACAAAGTTTACGGCGTACGGTCTGTTTTAGATGGAATGGGAGAGTTATCGTTTGTTTAAATTTCTATCATGAATACAAAGTTTACGGCGCACGGTCTGTTTAGATGGAATGGGGAAAGCTATCGTTTGTTTAAATTTCTATCATGAATACAAAGTTTACAGGGCACGGTCTGTTTAGATGGAAAGAGGAGAGTTATCGTTTGTTTAAATTTCTATCATGAATACAAAGTTTACAGCACATGGTCTGTTTAGATGGAATGGGGAGAGCTATCGTTTGTTTGAATTTCTATCATGAATACAAAGTTTACGGCACACGGTCTGTTTAGAAGGAATGGGGAGAGCTATCGTTTGTTTAAATTTCTTTCATGAATACAAAGTTTACGGCGCACGGTCTGTTTAGATGGAAAGGGAGAGTTATCGTTTGTTTAAATATCTTTCATGAATACAAAGTTTACGGCGCACGGTCTGTTTAGATGGAAAGGGAGAGTTGTTTGTTTAAATTTCTATCATGAATACAAAGTTTACGGCGCACGGTCTGTTTAGATGGAATGGGGAAAGCTATCGTTTGTTTAAATTTCTATCATGAATACAAAGTTTACAGGGCACGGTCTGTTTAGATGGAAAGAGGAGAGTTATCGTTTGTTTAAATTTCTATCATGAATACAAAGTTTACGGTGCACGGTCTGTTTAGATGGAATGGGGAGAGCTATCGTTTGTTTAAATTTCTATCATGACAAGATCAAAGTTACCTGAACACACGACATTCGTCCTGAGAAGTTTGCTGATGTGTAACCATAAGTGACATTTGCAATCAACTTTAAAGCAAGCTGTCGAGCATCAAGAAGTTGAAGAAGAGTCTAAAATGTAAATTATTTATGATATTGAATAATTAAAGAAAACAAACAAGAGAGGAAAGGCATCTTTTTTGAACATGAAGAAAACTCCATGACGTTTTAGCTACTGGATCTTATAAAAACATAAAAGATCGTTTCGAAAACAAAGGTTTAATAAAACCAACTTACTTTATCATTTTTACAATCTTTCATAGCTTTCTTTACCATAATACGTGTGTCTAATATCTTCTCTAACATTCTAAAATAAATATAATTTATTGAACATATAATATCCAAAGATATCAAGACCCATTTAGGACAGTAAACACTTAAGAAGGAACGCTATGTACATTGCAAAAGATACAACAAAATGCAAATGTTATTTTTTTAACAACCTTTTGAATCAATAAAAATGTGACCAGTAAGCAAATGAATGTGAAATATCCCACATTACCTGGGTAAAATTCCTCGTCTTATGTTACATTTTACAAAAACAGAGCCGTTGGCGCTTACATGAATATCATCTTGCAGTTTCTGAAAGGAATTGTATTCTTTCAAATGTATTGCTTGTCGTGATGGTATTTTGTTAAAAATTCTCACCTCCAGTGATGTTGGAGGAACATTCATCGATGTACAACCAAACTTAAAATGAACAACGACATGTAAGACGGAGAAAATGACTTTTTCCTTAAACTTTACAATCCATGCTACACGACAGAAGAAGATGAGCAGATTTCGGAAAGAATCTTATTGCAGAAACACATTTAGTGTGACCAGACCTAAGAGAAAGATAAAAAAATACAATAATACATAAGTAAGAATATCTCCATTGCTTTCTTTTATCACGACGGTAGAAGGATGAACTACAGGAAAACAAATACTTAAATGTTATTAAAAAGTGCTGTATAAAGTGAATATTTGCATCAGGAAGTATCGTTACGTTTTTGTCGAGGTTAGTAGAGTCCTGTGAAGAACTGTTGGTGTTGATGTTGACTGACATTTTGACAACCTTGGCAGTAGTCATCTTTAGAGTGAAATGATAAGTAAATGTCAGGTTAGCCGTGTTTCTTAAAACAAGTGCTAAGGAAGTCCAATACAATATCTACAAACATACGTACGTAGTACTAGAACAAATCATTACTTTATAATAAATAATACACTGATAAATATGATTTTATAAACATATCAAATGATCACCTAAACGTCTCCAATCAAAGAGAAGCACCATATTAAAAAACGCTCATATTTTAAGTTTACATTTGGATGAGACGCTTTCTCTAATGAATACTGTAATGTATAATTGAACTTCCTCAATACCATCAAGAATTATATCATAAACTGTCTTTAAACTTAATTCAATTATTGTGTGTTTTCCTTAAAATCTACAAAATTTAAAGTATATTGATGACTCTAAGTCAGACGTTCCATGGCGTTTCTATGACATTTTAGTAAGTAAACTTTCATATTTCTTCCGTTTTTGTTTTACAGTAAAGTAACAGAAAGTAACAGTTTACATACCACGTATGAATATGTTGTTTTGGTAGAAAGCAACGTTCTGGAGGACTATCTGACTTGAGATTAATGCCAAGATCTTGTGGAATGTGAAGATATGATCTTCCTTGATAGTCATATGCATCTTTAACTGAAAAATAATAACATTTGGTAAAGTTTAGGAAACCACAAGAAAGTATGAAAATTTTAAGTTACTGTGTAATGTGGATTTCTCTTCTGAAGGTTTAATATCATCTTTCTTCGATTTGTTTTTCTTCGATAATTCATACTCCTCAAGGATTGTCGACTCTTCCTGTATTCACCAAGGTAAAACGCCAGAAAAATAATTGTTTGATTTTAAAGATATCATTATAAAACTCTTCATTTGGGTAAATGAAATACCTCAGATGGTTTAGCAATAGTTTCTTCATCAACAAACTTACTCCATGGTCCTATAGGATAACAGAGAATAAGAGAAAGTAGGACAACCTTTCAAAAGTTATGATTATTGTAGTAATCGTACCCTATATCCATCAATCACACCAGGATCTCCCCTATCTCTTTCTTACTCTTATCACCTGCCCGCTGTTTTGTAGCTTCAAACACAGTCAATCCCTTGCTATCTTTTGCTTTCTCAACATCCCCAACAAATCTTAATGGATAACAATTGATATAAACATAAAACAATACCAAGCCTATTTACTAATAATTAAGAGCCATGTACTACATTATGTTTTTAAGGTAATTTCATGACAAACACATTCATCATATCCACCCAAATAAACATTTATCAGCTTGAATCATTCAAAGTAATTGAGTGGATATAATACTTCAGCATTATTCTATTTCAGTCTTGGTGCATTCTACTGAGGAACATGTTTGATGTGTAGGAGGTTTCATACCCTCTACATACTGTGAATTATGTATAAAAGTTAGTCTGAAACTAATAAAGGATGAAAAAGTTGGTTTGTATTGGGTTTTAGTATCAATCTACACTACAATAAATTATCCCACAATGTAAAACACATAAAATTTTGAGAGATGTGTTCCTGCACTAACATGACTATCGTTGAAGATGTATGCTATATCACAGTTATGCTTATAAGCACACTTGTAAATAATATTATATACATATATTGTAAACTAATCTCTTCTAATGTAAGCTGTGTCATCACTTGGATCTATGCATAACCTGTGATTTATTAAAACCAAAAAGATCACACATAACTCATTAACAAATACATTTTTTCTCAAACTATGCTTGCTTTTGCTCTTACCGTAACATGAGAATGTTTTTAGTTGATTATCAAATTGAAATTTACTGATATGAGCTGGCTCAACACAGCCAGACAACATATTTTTATGTGCTCTTTGATGCTTCGTTTTAAATGGATTTTTTATCCAATCTAAAATAGTGGACTTCTTCAAAATCATGATTTTGTCCATGTGCATGTAAATGGTGACAATGATTAAATTATTAACGTACCGAAGCAGAAACGAGTTTGTCATACTTTGCATTAAATGTAACTTCTTTCATTGACGGATCGATGTGCCTTCTCCAATCAATTCCTTCCTTTAAAGCATAGCAAATCGTATCAAAGACTTCGCCTTGGTGTTGGTAGTTGCCTAGTTAGGACTTTGGATAAAAACTATTACACTTTACCTTAGCATCAACAATTGGCGCGCTGTTTAAAAGAAACTTAGATTTTAGAGCATCCATATTTACAGTTCTCTCTGATTTGTCTTTTCATCTTCTTTAGATTTATCATTATTACTTCTCTCTTCATCAGAATAACCACTTTATGGGTAACCAACGATTTGGGACTGCCAAATCGAGAGATCGGAGCACAGAAGCCATATTGAAATTTGTCACGTGAAACGTGAACTGAAAGATAAATATTAAATGTCACCATCGTTACTCGCGCGAATTGTTTTATCGTCTTGCGCGAAATACGATTTTACCCATTTAACTTTTTGTAAAAACACATCGTATGCGCAATGTCAATTTCTTGTTCTCTTCCATTGTATTGCTCTATAATAAAGCTAAATATCTTAACGTTTTAAGTTCTTTATTATTCGTAGTGTGTATGTGGAATAACAATACGAAGGTATTGAGTTTAATTGCTTCATCACACTAAGCATATGCACATATATTAACTGAATTGCAAACACTATTTTCGCTGCAGAGGAAGTCAGAATACATGAAACAACTTGACAACTGCCGTATTGGCAATATTTTTGAATAATTGGTAATTATAAATAACAATCAGCAGTTTGTTATTATAGTATTTTAAATTTATAATAACTACTAAACATAAACGTATTCTGACTTACCGGAACTCCACTGCATTGCACTACATGCAAATTATGCAGTTATTTAGGTTATTTAGTTCAGACCTTTGCAGTGTAATGGGATGGGGTGCAAGGCAACATGAATATAGGCCCTGACATGACATAGGATTAAAGTCCTGCATTAAAAATTCATAGTATAGAAATGGAAATTAGTTTTGTTAATTATATGTACAAAATTTATTTGGAGGTTTTGTCTCTCAAAAATGCTTCAAAAAAGATAGAGCCCGTACTGAGCAAGCTAACTAGAGGTCATGCTTTTGAGTCTTTTTGCCAAAGATTGAGAAATGGTTAACCAAAGTGTAAATTGCAGTACAGATGATGATTCAGTTGTTGATCCTTGCCATGTAACATCTATGCCAAGTATGGACCAGTTGCAACAATGGAGAAAAATAGTTGAGGCATCTGGCAAGCAAAGGAGCATGTATCAACTAATCACAAGGAAGGTTAGATATCAATTGCATCACCAATCTGCAGAAATTCTACACCTTAAAAAGCATAAGTAGAAGTCAAGAGGAAATTGCCTGGTTTCACAACCATTGAACAAACCAGACACGGTGGTGGAACATCCATCAGCTGCTTCAATTACAGCCTTCAGAAGTTTGTACAGAACCCCATACAGTGAGATTATGAAAGAACGAGGATTGTCATCCAATGAGATGTCCAGGTTATGTGTTGACAGATTGGTGTCAAGAGACCACATGCTGGTTGACAACAAACCTAAACCAAAAGAAAAGATACATATTATGTACCTCAATGGAACAAAACCACCCACAACAGCCCAACACCATGCTAAATATGAATTCATTTCAAAATTCTGTTTTGCCATAAATGTTGGAAGAAAAAAGCAATGGCAACACATTCCTTGGAGATGATTTGCACCCCGGAAACCATTGGGTACTTTGCTATACTAATGACAAAAACATTACATATGGGGATTCATTAGGCTGGCAAATTCCGAACACTCTTCTACACATTTTAGATAAATTCATCAAGGCACATAATATTTGCGACAGCATAGCCAACTCAACTACTCAGTAACAATGACACATGATCCTGATAGCAGATGCCGGGTTAGAGGAGGACACAAGTGCACAGACAATTGTTCGAAAGAGTATCAATTCCAAACATGTAGCAATGTTTGTGACGTGGTTGTAATGATTCTGATGGCTATATCAAGCTATAACTATGCCTTTTTCAAGAGCATGCTATTATTTTCTAAGCCAACCACAAAGAATATTCCATCAATATACCAAAGCAATACCACACATTACAGCGCATACTTACGGATTGTACTTGGATGTTGGATCTCAGATAATGTTGATAACCTGGCATATGTATTACCACAGTTTTGGAATACACTACAAAAAGGGATTTTACCAGAAAATGAAAACACAGCAACAACTAGTAAAATTTCCAATAAATAGAGCATCAAGAGACTCAAAGTCACACCATCAGTCTTCAATAAAATGGTGAAGGATAAAATCATGCAATTTATTTGAGTTCAATGATGCAAATGATGCAGTCAAAAAGGTGTTTGAGATAGCATTGCTAATGTTCTTTTTACTAAATTGTCATTGTTAAACAAGTAATACGAATATACTCACTTTGGGACAAGTAAGACAGATATTTCCTTCATCAAGCTCAGGAATAACACAGCTCAACATGTTTAGTTTATGTCTGGAAATTCTGAAAAAAACAATGACACAAAGAAAGCAATTATCCACTCTTAAACAAATGACATATACAAAATACAGTGCAAGATAGTAATACTTGAGGCAAAATCCTTTCCCATCATAAACTTTAGCATTTTGATTTCCTCCAATTAAATACATCTCTTAAGATGAGATTCTTAGGCTATAAAATTGACTGCAACTTTCCCAGCAATTCATATGAAGTACAGCAGTGCAATAAATCAGTGACCTACATGCAGTTACCTAAATTCTTTAAAAGCATCTATAATGACAGGATACAATTTTGGTGTTGCATAAGAAGAGAATATGTGGTTATCATTAAACTCTTCAAATGACTGACAAATGCTTTTTATTGATGCCTGGCATTCCATCTGCACAGAATGAATCTAATCAAAAAACCAATTGCAAATGCAATTCTTGGTTTTGTAAGTGTTTCACCCCAAATGCCAAATTGCAGAAGTTGAACAAACTCTGGAGAGCATGAGCAAAACTGTACCTCAACAGTACAAAAGGTGCCTCAAAATTGAAAAAGATCCAAAATTATAATTGTGTTGAACCATCCCAGCTAAAATGAAAAAACTTTTGCAGCACATTTTACATATAACTTACCTTAAACATCAACAACAGAGACACTTCTTTTGTAACGAGCTGTTTGGCATGAACAATCATACACCAGTATGTTCATGAGTTTATATGGCCAAAACATGCCATCCTACAAAGCAATGAATAACCTCGAAGAAATTAGTTGTAATCAATCCCCTTTGTTGCATTCATAAAAAATATTAGATTAGTGCTTCGTAGCATGTTTCACAATGTAAACTCTCATTTTATTTTTGCATTTTTTGTTGCAAGTGTTGAGAGAGTTAACTGTAAACACTTTTATAATATCTAGCTCATAAAGGTTACCTTAAATATTTCAACATGATGACAAATATTTATGGTTGTGTGCATCTTTAACATACAGTTCTCACAATACTTTGCCATTGGACCACAATCGCTGCACCTAAATTTGCTTCATTATCACAATGAATACACTTCAGATTGCTCCAATTTTTCCCAGCAAACTGAAATGTATTCTTTATAATTAAATGTCACAAAATTTCCCATGCTTTTTGTTTTCTTTCAACTTTCTGGTAATAAGATGATTCTTCACAATCATGGTGAACATCACTTTCAAGATCACTGTTATCTTGTTCCATTCCCAGTTCATGGCCTTCCAATGCACCACAATTATCAGGACTGTTAAAAGAACAGCCTCATCTATGATCCTCAGTAACCAATTCTGACAAATGCACCTCCTCTCTCTCAACATGGCCATCCTCATCATGATATGTGACAGCTACAGTTGCTTTAAACCTTTTATTGCTCCAACAAAAATTATCATAAAAATCTATAAAATGAAAATAAATGTTGAAAAGTCTAACAGCTATAAGGCCGTTATTTGGTGTACCTTGGCATCTTTTAAAATTATCAGCAAGAAAATCACAAATGAGAAAATATTATCGATATTACCAATGACACAATAACATAAGTTAAACGACCAAAGTACAACGTATGTATCTTCCACGACTATCTGCCGACGTTTTGTACCCGTACTTTACCGGCTTTTAGCCATGTCTCATAAGGCGAATGGGGGTGATATGTTTGGTTAGTAAAACGAAAGGGGTTTTTCTTCCGGTATATTGTAGGAGCCTTTTTCCTAGGGGTAGGGTAACATATCTCACGTGACCGGAAACGTAAATCATTTAAATTATTCCACAGAATCGACAAGAACGCCGCTCCTGAGATATAATGTAGTTGGTTGTGTCTTGTAATCTTTTTGAATTTGTGAAGGTATGTTGATTTTAAACTTTACCTTTCGTTGTTATATTGTATTTTGATTTTGTGATTTAATGTTTCATGTCCATTTATCGATTATTTTGTTTTTCTGTAAATTATTCTACTTCGCTCTATGTACGTATGTAAATGTTTTATAAAGATAAATTTGTTGATTTTGGTGAGATTTGGAGCTAGCTCGAATCAAGTTTGGAAAATCAACTTGTTAACTTTCATATATCTTATATAATAATAAAAGAAATAAATTTCTACTATATAATAGTTATGTTCTACATCGATACACATCATGCATGGTCACGAGGTAGTAGAGGAAATATGATATTCATGGATAATTTCGTAAAAGCACTATTGCTAATGCGCATTTAATATACACGAAGTTTTTTAAAATAGACATGTTTCGACATCTCATGATATCTTTCAGTGAAATAATAAGTGATACAGGGTTTATAAAAGTAATATGATATAAATTCATAATATTAAAAAGGAAATAAGATATATTATTTGGAAGCGTCCGATGTATTATAAACTAAATATTGTATTGAATTTATAATACGTTCGGACGCTCCCTAATAGTTTATCTTATTTCGTTTTACTGCTGTAATTTATGTATCATATTATTTCTTTATATAAATCTTGTATCACTTTTATTATCACCTATACTGAAGATGCATCATGAGATGTCGAAACATGTCTATTTTAAAAACTTGTCGGTATATTGAATGCGCAATAGCAATAGTAAATTTTTATGAAAACGTGTAATAAAATTAATGCCCAACATAAAGTTTTGATTAGAGCCATGCAGAAATAGACCAAAATATAGTAAAATTGAATTTATTGTAACGTTTCGTCTTTATCAAGACATCTTCAGACAAATAATATATAGGATGTTAAGACAAGATATTATATTTACAAAAAGGTAATAAATTACTGGTAAAGGAGGCGGGTCAAATGATTATATGATAAGGAAGAAGCAAAATAAAAAGAGAAATTAAGAGGTTATGGAATGGGTTTCCTTGCACGTTAATTAAAAAAGCTTGTATTTATTGATTAGAAGGCTCATGAATGGAGAGTTCACAAGAATCGTTAGAAGAGGAGATTACTTTAAAGTCGTCTATTGGGTGTTTTCAGTTGCGTTAATGTGAGCAAAGATGCTTGATAAAGCAGGGTGGGAAACTTGGTTGCCTGTAAGGGATATTCCCAAGTGTCCGAAAATCTGGTGTGTAGATGACGTGGTCACCGCATCTTCAACCTTTGTCTACTTTATACGAAAATTTTCATACACAACTCGAATTTACCAGAAAGTCACCTCACCAAAACGGTTTTCCTTCACACATAATTGACCAAATCACACGTCGCTTTCTTTAACAACACCTTTGCCCCTAAACCACCTGTCTTGACTGCTCACAAAATGCCTATCTATTTCTGTCTTCCTTTCACGGCATACACTCTCTCAAATTCGCACACAAATCAATAGCCTTTGTGCTGCAGCCCTCCACACATATCCATTAAATTTGTTTTCCGCCCTTCTCAACGTATCTCTTCTTTCTTTCCTTTAAGGACAAAATTCCCAAACCTCTGAGATCTGGTGTAGTCTATTTATTCAAGTGTCAGCTGCAACGCCTCGTATGTGGGTCAAACCACACGTCATCTACACACCAGATTTCGGAACACTTGAGAATATCCCCTTACAGGCAACCAAGTTTCTCACCCTGCATCATCAAGCATTCTTGCTCACATTAACGCAACTGGACACACCCCCAACTTAGACGACTTTAAAATAATCTCCTCTTCCAACGATACATATGAACTCTCCATTCATGAAAGCCTTCTAATCAGTAAATACAAGCCTTTACTTAACGTGCAAGGAAACTCCATTCAACTTAACTCTTTTAATTTCTCTTTATTTTACTTCCTAACTTCCTTATCATATAATCCATTTGACACCGCCTCCTTTAGTAGTAATTTAACACCTTCTTGTAAATATAATATCTTGTCTTAACATCCTATTTATTATTTGTCTGAAGATGTCTTGAGTAAAGACTAAACGTTACAATAAATTCAATTTTACAATATTTTTGGTCTATTTCTATGGCTCTAATCAGAACTTTTATGGGGCATTAATTTTATTACAATAATTTGATTTCCAATACACATTTAATATAAACACAACTTTTTGAAAATAGACATGTTTCGACATCTCATGATGCCATCTTCAGTATAAAAGTAAGGTTTATATAAAAGTAATATGATACTTAAATTACAACAATAAAAAGGAAATAAGATAAATTAATGAGGAGCGTCCGAGCGTATTATAAACTAAATATTGTATTGAATTTAAAAACTTGAACATTGAGGTCAGGGTTAGTTTTGTTAATGTGGAGTGCTTCTCTGATTTTAAGGGTGAATGAAGTGTCGGCAGTGTCGATGATTTTAAAGCAAGAGGGTGAATAGTGGTTTCACACCACTTTCATACAAAACCGTACTTATACGCACACTAATTGACAGAGCATACAAACTTAACAATACGAACAATGGCTTTCAACGAGACATAAAAAACATCACATGCACTTTTTTACGAAACTCTTTCCCACTACACTTTATTAACAGAACTGTAAAACGATATCTCGACAACAAACAAAGCAACAACCTAAAACTAGACACCGAAACTCCTGACACGACGATCACAACCAAGACAAATGAAAATTCCAAAATAACAACTCTATACTTCAAACTACCATACATCGGACATTACTCAAGACACACACAACGCAGACTTACAAACATGAAACGCTTCTGTACAGATATTGACATTCGACTAATTTTCACATCATTCAAAATCAAAACTTTTCTCATTCAAAGACCCAATCCCTGATTCAATTAAATCTATGGTGGTATATGAATTTGATTGCGCGGGATGTAATTCCCGATACATTGGCGAAACTTCTCGCCATTTATCCACCAGAATCGGGAACATAACCACAACAAACAAAAACTCTCATATCTACCGACACCTTCTTAAATCTCACTCATGTAAAACCAACTATTCACTCTCTTGCTTTAAAATCGTCAACACTGCTGACACCTCATTCACCCTTAAAATCAAAGAAGCACTCCAAATTAACAAAACTAACCCTGACCTTAATGTTCAAGTTTTTAAATTCAATACAATATTTAGTTTATAATACTCGGACGCTCATCATTATATTATCTTATTTCCTTTTATTGTTCTAATTTATGTATCATATTACTTTTATATAAACCTTGTATCACTTATCATGAGATGTGAAACATGTCTATTTTAAAAAAACTTGTCGTGTATATTAAATGCTCATATTCATGGTCATGTGACATGTGGGATACTTCATATAACATTAACATAATTTATGATCACATCACAGAATAGATATCTTAACAGAAGGTCCACTTGTGTAGGAACCTTTGATGTTTTTGTCTACCACTACCAACGTATAAAGAGACACTATTGGCAAACCAAGTATCAAATATAAGAAGAGTTCATTTCTACAGTAAAATATAAACAGGAAAAAGCAGCACTAGCATCAAACTTTGTATTTTCACCAATCCAAGACAATAACCAGAACGTTAATTTGGGGAGGGGGGAGGAGGAGTGAAAAATGTTTACAAAGGAAATTATTCGCTATTATTTTCTGTGTCTCAGGCTAAATTTTCCAACGAGATGCATAAATATTCAGTGGTTTATCTCCGTAGCAAATATCTTTGAACAAATTCATGCAATAAAAAATTCGTTGCTTAATGATAGGATGTCAAACACAAAATTAAATCAAGGCAAACTTTTACAGTTTTACCACAGAATTCAAAAACTTCACGATTTTTTATGAGCAGGATGAACAGTACGACATCTTCCAACTTTATTCGTTTTCAAAAACAATCGCTATAAGGACAGCAAACTAATAAATAATGCAACATGCATGATTCTGACCGTAATGGAGGGTGATTCTGAACAGAATAGTGGAAATGGCGATCCATTATGATCCATTATGATCCATTGAAACTTTAAAACCATTTACATTTGTTCTATAAGAAATAAATGTTAATAAATGTGTTATTTGCGTGAGATTAAAAAATCACATATTTAACAATTATGGATTCCACGTAAAGGCTGTGAAATTATGAAGACAAAACTCCTCACATGCTAGACATGTAACAAAGGGCAAGAAACACATAGGTTTATCCTATTCTATTTTAGTATCTCTTCCACTACTAACATGTCTCTTAAAGGACTTAACACGATTTACAGTTAAGAAATAAAGATTCCACAGATGCACTCTACATTGAAATGACGTCTGGCAAAGTAAAAGTTTGTAAAAACTTTTATCATCCATCTGAAAATGAAAATTGTCGAAAATTTGAATTATAAAAAGTCTTAAATAAAAATAAGTTTTGAAACTATACATATCGTATTTAATCAGAAAATACTGAAAATTCCCTACATCTCCATCGTTGTTGTATAAAGATTTCGAGACTAATTAGCAACTGCTTCAGCTTCTGGTTAAAATTGTTTATAGTATTTATACAATAAAATTGTTGAGGAATTGTTTGGTTGGTAAAAGGAAAGGGGTTTTTCTTCCGGTATATTGTAGGAGCCTTTTTCGTAGGGGTAGGGGTAACATATATCACGTGACCCGAAACGTAAATCATTTAAATTATTCCACAGAATCGACTAGAACGCCGCACCTGAGATATCATGTAGTCGGTTGCGTCGTTTTAATCTTTCTGAAATTGTGAAGGTATGTTGATTTTAAAGTTTACTCGCCTTTATGTAATAGTGTATTTTAACCTTATGATTTAATGTTTCGTTTCCATGTGTCAATTGTTTTGTTTTGATGTCACGAATATTGTAGTTAAATATAACTTATAAATTAGTGCCACGTATGTTTTATATGGATAAATTTTCTTCATTTTGGTGGGATTTTCAAACACAAATTAATTTTGGATACATTACACGTGGAAAATACGGCTTTTTTCACATCAATACCATTTTACTCCAATCGTTTATTTTAAATTATATTAATACAGCAAAGTTACAAAATTAACGTGTTCAGTCAAAATGAAGAAACGTCAGAGAATTTCAGTTATGCATGTTTATTATGTACTGTAGTTTTTTTTTGTTATGGTCTTTTGAAGAATTAAAAAAACCGTTTTTATTCTTTTATTACTTTTTATCTAAATCTCAAGTTCAACATATTTAGCTCCATCAACGTAAAACATAACAGATTTTAAACATCTTTGAGGAATTTGGATATTTAAATCAATGTAAAACCCTACTATGATTGTTTAGTGTTCAATTTAACCAAAACATTTACAACATTAGTGTTTAGTGCAACTATTATCAATATAGTTTTTCTTTAGTTAACTATGGATTGATTGATTGCTTAAGATTTTTAGCATATATTATGAGCACTTAAAGTAACCAAAGAAATCTTAGTTAAAAGGTAATTCAATAATGCTTAATATGATGCAACTTGACGTTCGTGTGTAATTTAAAGAAAAATGTTCATGTCTAAAATAAAGCAAAGAATTAACATTAGCAAAACGGAAACTTTATAAAAAGATGTACATTTAGGTCACATATTTTGCATAAACACATTAATGTCGTTTACATTTCACACTTCAATCAAAGAGAAAGTTCTCTCCTAACACGAACATCAAAAATCACATTCACCTGAAATTGTTATCAAAAATAGTTAAATATATATTTCACTTTTGGCAAATATTCTTTGCGTTTGTAAGATTGTAGAGATTTAAATGAATCATTGACAGTTTGAGTTAATGTTAAAAAATTTTTTCAAGTCAAAGAAACGTGTTGTGTTGTGATTGGTCGTTTCTTAGGCGTGTACTTAGTTTTACATGGTACCTAAAATTTTTGTGCACATATAAGATTTTCATTTTTTATCGTCTCGCTGTTATGAACAGAACTCAATATTTTACAATAGAAACAGCAGGTGATTATAAGTTAACATTTAGTGAACAATTTCTTTATTATCAAGCAAAAGCAAAGACATTATGTAGTTGGTTGCGTCGTCTTCAATCTTTCTGAATTTGTTAAGGTAAGTTGATTTTAAAGTTTACCTATCATAGTGTCATTGTTGGTTTTTATGTCTAGAATTTCGTTATATTTATCTTAAAAAACCTGAATTTTCCTTTTCGTGGTGAAATTCGCACTTCATATGTTTTATATTGATACGTCTGTTAATTTTGGTGGGATTTTCCCAATAACACATTGGATAATTTATCATTTCAAAATACTGACCTTTCTTGCATTGTCCCAACAATTATTTTCATTAGTCTTTTCAAATATCATTGGTACGGCAGGGCTAAAAAATCAAAAATATAAATCAAAATTATGACACGTCACAGAATTGCAGTTATACATACCATTATGTGCAATAATTTTAATTTTATCTAACATGGCTTTTTCAAGAAGAATTTTTTTCTCATTCATATAGTCATCTATCTATTTATCTTATTCCTAACACAGATGATGACATAAAAACGTTTTGCTAGCTATGTCTTTAGAAATTGCGCCCACTTGGAAAAAAAACTTACTTCTTCACGTGATAGTACACGTGATTTTTTTTCTGGTCTATAATTGTTCAACTTGTTGTAAGATAGACTATTTAAAATATTTGTTTGTGTCAAAAGTTTACAAAATGACAAAACTTTGCATGATGAACTGTCAAGTCCAAACGCTATCAGTATTGAAGTATCTCTGATTACTGAGATGTGAGAAAATTAACCCTCTTACCTAGTATCAGTCGTCAAAAATAATTATTGGAAAAGTTGTTGTTTATAATCTTAATTTTTTTTGAGCTATCTTATTGGTAAAAAATGGTATTACATATTTTGTCTTGGCTGACTCAACTTTGCGTTTGTTAATAGTTTAGTTTCCAGAACATTTCAATAATTCAAATAAATATATGTAAACTGTGTATAAGGTTTATCAAATTTAACTGAAACATAATTTGTTGTAAAAGTTATAAATCATCCCTTCGTGTATTCTCATCAGTCATAGCTAAAATTTAAAATTTGCCCATCTCATTTTATCGTCTCGCTGTTATGAACAGAATTCAATATTTTACAATAAAAACAGCAGGTGATTAAACTCAAGCATTTATTGAACATTCTAATTTCTTTATTATCAAGAAAAAGCAAAGACATCATGTAGATGGTTGCGTTATCTTTAATCTTCCTAAATTTGTTAAGGTATGTTGATTATAAAGTTCACCTATCAGAGTGTCATTGTTTGTTCTTATGTCTAGAATTTTGTTATATTTGTTATAAAAAACCTGAATGTCATTTTCGTGGTGGAATTCGCACTTCATATGTTTTATGTTGATACATCTGGCGATTATGGTGGGATTTATTCAATAACACATTGGATAATTTATCATTTCAAAATACAGACTATTCCATTATCACCAACAATTAATTTCACTAGTCTTTTCAAATATCATTGGTACGGCAGGGCTAAACAATCAACAAGATGATACAAAATTATGACATGTTACAGAATTTCAGTTATGCATATTATGTGCAATAATTTTAATTTTATATAACATGGCTTTTATCAAAAAGAATTTTTTCTTCATTCATATAGTACGTAGATTGCAGGTGAGCTATGGCCCTTTATATAAGCCTTTTCCTTCATGCTCTCTCTCTCTCTTTTTCATATAACCTAATTCAGTAGACGTCATTTTAGCTTTTCATTAATTGCCTATGCAAACGACACCATGGAGTTAAGCTCAAATGCCCGACTGTCACTCAAACTTCTAGGAGGCCTTTGCCACACCCAATTTATTTGTAGGAAACAGACACGTGGTACTGTTTTGTTGGTGTAAATGTGTTGAGTTCTAGTTTATCGCCATATCTCTTTTCGTAATATGCTCGGTATTCCTTTAGTAACAATCACGAGTGAACTTAATGATCGAACTGATCCATTTTTTCTTATTTTACAGAGCAGTATTTATAGTCTTTATTACAAATAACAAATATTATTATTGGTCGGAATAGTTCCTCTATTTAAGCTATATATGGTACATAAGGAATTCGTGTGATAAAAATTAATGCCCAACATAAAGTTCTGATTAGAGCCATAGAAATAGACCAAAAAAAACGAATTGTAAAGTTAAATTTATTGTGACGTTTCGTCTTTACTCAAGACATCTTCAGACAAATAATAAATAGGATGTTAAGACAAGATATTATATTTACAAAAAGGTGTTAAATTACTAATAAAGGAGGCGGTGTCTAATGGATACATGATAAGGAAGTTAGGAAGTAAAATAAAGAGAAATTAAAAGAGGTTAATGGAATAGAGTTCTTGCACATTAAGTGAAGGCTTGTATTTATTGATTAGAAGGCTTTCATGAATGGAGAGTTCATAAGTATCGTTGGAAGAGGAGATTATTTTAAAGTCGCTCTGTTGGGGTGTGTCCAGTTGCGTTAATGTGAGCAAGAATGCTTGATGATGCAGGGTGGGAAACTTGGTTGCCTGTATGGGGATATTCCCGTGCTCCGTAATCTGGTGTGTAGATGACGTGGTTTGACCCACATACGAGGCGTTGCAGCTTCGACACTTGAATAAATAGACTACACCAGATCTCAGAGGTTTGGGAATTTTGTCCTTAAAGGGAAGAAAGAAGAGATACGTTGAGAAGGGCGGAAAACAAATTTAATGGATATATGTGGGAAGGCTGGCACAAAGGCTATTGATTTGTGTGCGAATTTGAAGGAGTATGCCGGGAAAGGAAGACAGAAATAGATAGGCATTTTGTGAGCAGTCAAGACAGGTGGTTTAGGCAGTGTTGCAGGAAGCGAAG